GTCTTTGTTTTCTGTTTTATTCGAACGAAAATGTTTACCACTGACGCTTTAGTGGGTACTGGGGGAAGAAGGCAGCAAATAAGATACTCCCAAAGAAAACAATCTGAAAACCATTCAGTGCTATGAACATAGAAGGTCCCGCTGCGATGAATACTCCCCGAAACAGCCAGGGCTGTGTGTAAGAGGAGCTATAGAGCAAACTGAGTAAAAGAAATTGAGAAACTTTTTTTTTTTTTTTCAGACCATCAGTCATTTTGAGATCCTTGAGCTTTATGCCTCCATTTGCTAGGAGAGTTATGTGTCATTTCTGAGTCTTTCCATTTTGGTTTTGTTAGCTATCTGGTTAATTGATCTGAATAAAAGAGAGTTTTAAGTCAGTAGCAATAACTGCATCTACAGGTGTGATGTATTTTGTCATTTATTTTCCAAAAGGATTTACCACTTCACCGTAAAGAACACAAATGTGGATAAAGTTGATGAAAGAGTAATACAATAGAAATAAGGAATGAGGGGCCTGAATAATAGAGGAAGACAGATATATTACCTTGGCGTCATGAGATTTTATACTAAGTTCTCAGGCAATGTTCAAAGAGCACTGGAGGAGGAGTTTGATTTCTTGTTTCTTACCCTGGTTTACTTACCAGATGGTTTGCACAGAAAGAATTATATTTATTTTATTACTTAATTTATTATTCTACATGCTATATTTGTCCATGAGTAAATTATCTAGTTCTCTTTAAATTTAATTTTCTCAGGTCTCCCCTGGGAGATGCTTGCATTGTTCCATTTTAACACCAACCAAAAACTATTTCGGGGAAAGCTGATTTGCTTTGTTTTCTTTCTTTTTTAAAAAACATAAATAAACAACCAACATTACATTTAGATGAATTTCTGGAGCCTTTTATCTGTAATTATTTGATGGAAAAAATAATAAATTAATTCCAGGTAGTTTACTATGTTTTCTAACTAAACTTTCCTTACTTCTTACACACACATACACATATGTATGTATATATTATTTTTATATCGAATATAAATCCTAAATAGGTCTATGATTCTATTTCTATCAGTAATTGCCAAAAAGAAATAATATGCTACTTGGATATAAGAATAGAAAACAGTGTCATAATGGCAGGACCATGAGGTTAAGAAGTCAAAGCTACAATAGTAATAATTATCCAAATGGTCTAAATAAGGACATGTTAAGTTGCCATCAATAATTATATTAAATTTTAGTAAAATAAGCAGTAATATGTGCCACAGGTTTAAGAACTATTTCTTGGAGAAATGTATGACCTGGAAAAAATTTTATCTTTTATTGTCCTTGAGAAACCATCGATCATCTATTTAATCAGTTTGTTGTATAACTACATAAAGCTATTCCCCAGGACTTCTTCATGATCTAAGTGGAGCCTGTCCTACCCTCTTCTTCTCCCCCAACCAATTCCATACACAGAATACACCCCAAAACATACATATTCATACCCTAACATACCTGGCTCTGCCAAAATCACCATCAGCCCCATCACAGTAAATAGCTTGCCAATTAAAATACAATAAGCCAAACCCATTTTTTGGTGCTTTTGAGACAAAAGAAGTTGTGTGTTAAATAACATGTCAAATTTGTTGACTGTTTGAAAACGGTGTGTGTACATATCTTGGTTAATGGTGACAGTGTGGAGATTTCATTACTGAAATACTCTGTTGGTGGAACTTAGCAATCTCGGCGGCTTCCAAACTTGCAGATCCGGCAATGTTGAATGGTCAAAATGCCACCATAGCAGTTTTTCTTCAGTTGAATTGATCACTTTTTGCTAGCAAGCAGGAAATTCATCGTTCTGATTGTTAATAAATGGAGTATGATCTTCGCACCAGCATACTTAGCACAGCGAGAAACCAACAGGCAGAGAAACTAGGCTCAGGGGAGCAAGCATGTGATGTGGTATTGCATGGCTTGGAAATGAAAATCTTTAATGGATTAAGGAGGGTTCTTACAGTTCTTAGGATGTGCCCCAAATGTTGATTTGTAATCCACATTTTAAAATAACAAAATTAACTTTTTAATTTGAAAATGTAAAGCAAAATAAGTCCATGTTCCCCCTAGGACTCTAGGCATTTTATATTAAAATAAACAGAAAGTGCACATGCAAGAAAGCAAAGCTAACTAAAGAGGGGAAAAAAATAACAGGTTTTCAGAATAGAAAGTTGTAAATATTAATTAACTTCCTTTAAAGCCAACATTGACTATGGGAGCATTCAGGGTCTTTATTTACCCTTACTAGGAAATTCGATACCAAGAATACATATTTTTAGATTTATTTCCACATGGCAGAATAAGCCAATATGCTAAGGACTTTGTACTTTTTTGCCCTTTTCATCTACAAAGTTAGAATTATCTAACATAGTGTCATCCTAAATTCAGAACAACAAAAGTAAGCAAAATAATTTTTAAGGCTGATTTTTGATCTACCTTGAGATTATCATAGTGAGGTTTTGTTCTTTGTTTATTTAAAAATTAAAGCCATGATGACCTCCTAACCACTATATATAAGAAATTGTATAATCTTTTAAAATGTTCTTCCTCTTTATATTCTTTATTGAGAATTACTGAACAGTCAGTGGATAAAAAATATGAGCAGAATAGAAGGTTTGTATATTTATTTGTATGGTTAGAAGGCCAGACTAGCTTTTGAAAATATGCCAGGTTTGGGGGCTATGGCTTTGTTTTCATTCCATTTTGGTCTTATAGGAACATGTGAAAAGAATAAAGTATAGTCAACTTTGCATCACTGGTATAGTTTATTGAATAATTTTATTAAGCTATAATTGGCATATGGTGAGGACAGGATTTTGGAAGCAGGAGGGAAAGCTGGAGACTTAAAGAGGTGCCATTTATGTAAGTCAGGTACTTGGGTCTCTATTTCCAAACATTGTTAACAAATGAAATATCCCATAGAACTGTTGTGAAGATACAACTAATGAATTTGAAAAGGTTTTTTTAAACTGTAAAACACCAGGCATAGGTGTTGCTGTTATTAACTTTGGACTTGCTCTTTTTCTAACAAAATGATAAAATTATTTCCTGATAGAGTATGGATTTATCATATTTATTTAAATATGTAGCAGAATCCACTACATATTTAGGATAAAATAGGGTAAGATTTTATAAATTGCCACAAAATGTCACGGGCTGATTTGCATTTTTGGTGATTCTATACATTGATCACTGAGTAACCTTCAGTTTTCCAAATAAAGAATAAAGAGGGTGGCGATGACATTTGTAATCATCTACAGGAAAGGGAATTATTTAAATTCTTCACAGATGGATAGATAGCAAGGGTAAATCATTATGTCCACATTTCTAAGTTTCAGAAGCATTAGGGTATCTGTGGATGGTGAGGAGCAGATATTGTTTTGCATATAGCATTAATCATAAACTTTCCATACCACAATCCCAAATTCTCCTGATGACTGTGGAGGTCTTTTCAGACACTATCCCCTCAGGATTGAGACATTCATAAAAGGAAGATAATGTTATGCTACACGTAATATACAAACTGAGCATATTGGAAAGACTAGAATAGTGACCTTTCAAAAAGGACAAATTAGATTCTATATGCCTCAGAGTATAATGTGGCTTAGTGCTTAAAATAAGGATGACATATGACATATACTCCTAATTCTAGCCTCATAGCAGTTGACTTTATTATTTCTAAATAAGCTGTATAACTCATTTTTTCTTCACACAACATAATTCAATCCGATATTCCCTGTAAACTAAATGTGAACCAGTGCTGGAGATTTTTAGTGAAGTTGAAGAAATCTGAATGCTTATCTAATGTTGCTTTAAAATAGTTTCAAGGATTGGACCATGTTCAGTGGGAACACACAAGAAAATCTGCTACCAAATATTCTTTGAACTTTGAGATGAGTAACATATGGAAGTACTCACTATGGGTAACACACATAAAGCCATAGAAACTACAATGATGTAGTCTGTTCTGGGTACCAAATCTAAATGCTTTCCTCCAAATTTAGATTTAAAAACTTATTTTAAAAAACAGACTTTTAAAACTTATGAGATGCAAATATTTTCTTTATTTTTCTTCCTGTTTGTTTTCTATGTATTTTTAAATTAATATATTCTTACTAATCCCTGGCTTTGTAAATAATAAGAGTGAAAAGATGGTAAATACTAAAAACACTGATAAATCCACTATTCATAAGTGGCAATACCACTTATGTTCCAAATTCATCACTGTGAGATTTTTTTTTCTATGTCTTCTATATTCCCTTTTTGAAATTGAGTTTGGAAAACACAGGGAAGCTGTTATATAATACCAGATAAATACCATCACTAGGGAAATAAATTAATTTTTAAAAGGCTTCTGGAATTAATTTTTATCACATATTTTACAGCAACATGATAGTGAAATAGGCCAATGCAGAACTTGGTTTTCTCAGGCTCCAGCCTTCTTTTCTGTGGGGGTGCTCGCAGGTCCAGGTGTGAAAAGAATGATGGCTTTGGACTTACACCTTACCTCTGGTGAGGCATTCCCAGAACTGCTCCTGGCCCCACAGGCCAGAATGTTCTGAGAGCTGAGATGGGGGGAACTAGTTTTCTCTCTCATGCCTGTCCTAGCCGAGATGGAAAATTAACTCTGCTGTTGAGGAAATCGGGAAAGTTGTCCGTCACCACATACCCTCGCTCTCAGACAAGGCATGTTATTTGCCGTCTGCCATTATACGCAGGAACTGAAGATGTTCAGGATGTCTCTCGCTAACATCTGCTTTGTTATTAATTCATTTTGCCTGCATCTTTAATTTGGGGTGACAGCCGCCTTGCGAGACTTTGGATGCCATCCCTCTCAGTAAGCAAATAACGGCATGTGGGGGCCATCTCCTCTCCACAGTGGTCTGTGCAGAGCCTCCACAGCGTGCCTGCAGCTGGCGATGCACGGTACATGCCCTGATGGCTCCCTGTCTCCTTGCTTTCGCAGCTGGCGCTACGTACATCTTTGGGAAAAGCGGAGGCCTCATCCTCTACACCTGGCCGGCCAATGATCGACCCAGCACACGCTCTGACCGCCTTGCCGTGGGCTTCAGCACCACCGTGAAGGATGGCATCTTGGTGCGCATCGACAGTGCTCCGGGCCTCGGTGACTTCCTCCAGCTTCACATAGTGAGTACCAGGCCTGGGCCTGGATTTCTTTGTCTTCCTGCTGGTGTGAGTCGGGGAGCCAGATTAACGCAGCAGAACATTCTAGATAGACTCGGCAAAGAGGCACATGATTATAAGAATTGCCTAGGTGTGTTGTAGCCATATCCCAGGGCTAGCCCTGGTGTCAAGCCTCGTTTGTCCCCTTAGACGTGAACTTTGATCCCCATGGGGTACTTCGGGGATAAAAAATGAAAAACTCTTTCAGTCCAGACACCCAAACCACTCAGCTGTGTGGTTTGGCCTGTCATGCAATGTTTAGCAGACTGCTTAGGTGTAAACAAGAGATTTACCTGGTACTTTGCCTTCACCTGTTGCAAGTAGCAAAGCCCACATGGGTGGTAATAACCTCCTATGCTAGCGGTCAGCAAAGTGTTTCTGTAAAGGGGCAGATGAGCAAGTATTTTGGGCTTTGCAGGTGATACAATCTCTGTCAGAGCCTCTCAGTTCTGCCATTATAATGTGAAAATGGCCATAGATAACATGTTTTTAATAAATGTGTGTGACTATATTCCAATAAAAAAAGGCAGGCTGCAGGCTCTACTTTGATGACCCCTACCCTAGGCTGCAAACTTCCTCGTACAGGTGTAAAGAACATGTGATAAAAACTGAGGCCAGGGTGGGTGGGGCAAAAAGGAAACAGCACAATAACCCAGAATTGTTAGATTCATGTGTATTGTATATCCAACATTTTGTTTGTATATATAAACCCAATAGGACTGCAACCTCAGTCACTGCAGATTGTGAAGAACACAGTGCAATTCTAAGAAATTAAAATGATTTGGAGGAAAAAAAATTACTTTGTTATGAGGATAGAAAATATTTTTATAGCAACAATTAACCCATTTTATCACCTGTGCAGTCTGCAGTTAGGAAAGTAGGCTAAAGAAGGATATGATTCTCATCCATAAGCACCCAAAGTGCAGCTACCAGGAGCAAAGAGAGCAATTGTTCTCATTAGTTAGCAATGACAAGGCCAGAAAGAATGGATTTAATTTGGAGCAATAAGAATTCAGTTTAAATAGCAGGGGGAAAAAGCAGTTAAGAGGAAAGATCAACTGGGGATTACCACCAACCTCCAAAAAGGAGGAAAAGGAACATTTTACTGGGCATCTTTGAATCTGAGTTTTGCTAATGTGCTGGTCTACTGAGGAAGGCAGAGAGTGGAATTTTATGGCTGGTGTCCAGAGTGGAGGTGGCTGGCTGGAACCACCAGCAGCCAGCTTAGCCTGCAAGCGCCGCCCATCTCTAGCACTGGCTCTTCCAATATGCCTTGGAAACAGGAGCAGCTTGAAGTGTAAGGCTTGAGCTGGAAGCCTGTCCGCCTCAGTGTGAGCCAAAGCAGGCAAGAGTGCAAGGAAGGGCTGGTTAGGAATGATCACCTTCAAAATGTGAAAGAGGGGTCTTAACGAAGTTGTGAACCTTTATGCTTTCTCAGATGCTTCAAGAACCATATGGTCCTATGAGCCTGAGCTTAAGCATTTTAGAAAGTCATGCCAAAGAGCATAGAGAAAAGCAGCCATAGTTTGTACGTTTTATCTTTATTTGGCCTCTAAAAACCACCATAATTTACAAAACTCTGTGAGATTTATGCTGCATATAACTTAATGACTATTTCATGGCAGCTATAACTAGGCTATTATTACCAGCTCGCTTGCATTTTCACGGTGATTTATCTTCTTTTTTGTTCAGTGTGACTTACTAAGAAAAAGATGATTTGGCACAGCCATGAGCATCTTTTTTTGAGTCAGATAATGTGCTACCAGTTTATCCACTTCTCCCCTTTCGTGTTTTGTAGAGCATCTCCACTTTTAAGAGAAATATTTCTTATTTTCTGAAAGCTTACTTAAAATGTTTTTATTAAAGGGATATGAGGATCCTGGGAACCTCTAGGAGGAACTATAGCATTCTGTTTTCATATCTTTAACAGAAAAAAAGAAGAAATTTTACATCAAAATGTGTAGACCCACTTGGGTCCTGTGGACCTTTTCCAGTGATGCTATATCATTGCTTAAACATTCTAGAAAATCCCAACAGATTGCCCTTTATCAGTTGACATCATCTGACCTTCTTAGAGAAAAGACAGACCCTACAATGTGGAGAAACCACATCCTTCTGGAATAGTCCTGACATGCTCATGACCCTCTTGAGCATGGGATCACTTCATTGGTCTAATAATTACAAACCATCTTTTATTCCCTAGTGGATTATCTCTGGTGTCTACCAGAGGTAAAAACTATGTGACTATATTACAATCAAAATTCATTTATAAAAGCAGACTGCAGGCTGTACTTTGGTGGCCCCTGCCCTAGGCTGCAGACTTCTTCATAGAGATGTAAAGAACCTGTGATAAAACGTGAGGTCAGAATGGGCAGAGCAAAGGGAAGGTTCCTTACCACATTCAGGAATAAAGGAATCCAAGTAGAAGATCAAAAGAATGGATTCCAAAACCTGCTTCTTGTTTTGGACATTTACATAGATGCACCAGGAAAACGAAGCCATAAATACCTACTAAGATACTTTTATGTGACTTTTACAATCTGTAAAATGCGGATTCGTTTAATGCCCGTAGCTTGTTTCCTTGTACTAAAGAACATTGCTCAAAAAGAAAATAATTCAAGGACAATTAAGGAATGTGGAAAGGGTTGGGCAGGAGGCAAAAGGATCCATTCCTGCTTGCAGTTTGCCTAGAAAAGAGAAACCCACCAGAGGAAAAGAAGTGATGGCAGACACAGAGAGGAGAGGGAGGCAGGATGGATCTCAGGGGTAAGGTGGGGAAGGAGGGTACTGGGCCTGGGGAAGAGGACCTGTCCTCCTGGAGGTGTGCTCCTAGCAAGGGGTCATAGCTGGGAAACTTCATTCTTCCAGTGTGGCTGTTGATTGTGGAAACAACCAAGAGTACCTTGGTGCTACTTCTGATTGGTTGCCAAGCTCCTAAGTTGCTCAAAAACAAAGTATAAACTCAGTAATTAGCAAGTCCTAGGAATTCCTGAAGTGTTTTGAGCCACAGTAACTCTGTCCTTGGAACAAGCCCTTTTTACCCCCCACTTAGCCTATTTAAAGGAAGAGAAAATGCTCTTCCAAGAACGCCAAGGAGTCTGACGCTGAGGTGAGCACCCTTTCTAGAACAGACCTGCTTGCTGTGGAGTCCCCTGAGCAGGGATGGCAAAGAGGCTTCCTCTTGTCTGCCAGCTCTGAGGACCTCTCACTTCCTCACTTCAAGCTTTACAGTGGGTGGAAAGAATTCTGAGAGCATCAGGCAAATCTAGCAGATAGGAGTTCCGGCTTCCAGCAGGGGAATCCACCCCCTGAGCTGAAATGGGACTTTGTGGATGGATGCATGCTGCATGGATTACCCTTGCTCTAGGCTACCTGCAATCCTATCCCTGACCTTTCCCACTTCTTTCCCTTTGTCATCCTGAAATGCCCTCGCATTAAAAACTCTTTAGGAAAATTGGAATCTTCTTAAACTCCTTCTCCACTGGAAGCTCTTGAATCATGTGCTAATTGGTTCAGTAGTTCATCTTTTTTTTTTATTCATTCAGTAAATATTTATTGAGTACTTACTACATGGTTAGCAAAGGGAATAAAATAGTTACCTATTTTACTAAAATCTCCAAACTTTTGGAGCTTAAATTATGCTAGAAGATACAGAAATTAGTTTTTGTTTTGTTTTGTTTGCTTTTTAAAATTGAAGTCAAATTAACATTCAGTGTCATATTAGTTTTAGGTGTACCATAGTGATTGGACAATTCTACACATTACTCAGTGTTCACAATGTTATTACAATATTATTGACTGTATTGCTTGTGTTCTGCATTTCAGCTCCATGACTTAATTATTTATAACTGGAAGTTTGTACCTCTTAAACCTTTTCATCTATTTCATCGCCACTCCCTTCCCCTTTGGCCACCACCAGTTTGTTCTATTTAAAGTCTGTTTTTTGTTTGTTCATTTGTTTTGTTTTTTAGATTCCTTATATAAGTTAAATTATATGGTGTTTGTCTTTCTCTGACTTGTTTCACTTAGCATAATACCCTCTAGTTCCATCCATGTTGTTGCAAATGGCAAGATCTCATTCCTTTCTATGGCTGAGTAATACACTGTGCATATACACCACATCTTCTTCATCCAGTCGCCTATTGATGGACACTTTGGTGGCTTCTATATCTTGGCTTTTGTGGATTTTTTTCTTTCTTTTTCTTTCTTTTTTTATTATGTAGAACAACAGGTAGTCTGAGCAAACCGAAATGGGGAAAAAAAAATGGACTGATAGTACATTCCCCACCTCTGTCTTGGTGCCCCTTTCTTAAATCAGTTCTTCACCTGAAGGTACCAGTGCTTCAAATTAGCTTACGTTTCTTCATTTTTGGTTCACACTTCCATGATGCACTATTTTCTGTGTCAACTATTAATCATAATATTAATGAAATCACAGATGAAACATGTTTGGCAAAGGCAAAAAGATCTTTGCTTGCAATACGTATGCATGAAATGAAATTCCGTGGAGGGACAGTGTCTTAGGGCAGAGGGATTTGTAAAGAAATATTACTTCAAATATGTTTTCTCCATTGACATCTATTGTTGAGGAATTAATCTGCTCGATATTTGGAGAGAAGCTGCTATTATTTGCAAGTGACATCTGCCTATTGACCTCTCATGTAGGCTCTATGAAGCTGTGTCATGTTACACTCACCTTCATTTATCCAATCAGTAAAAAATTGAATAAGACCAGAGAAAGGATTACCATGAAGTGCTTGCTATTCTCTCATGAAACTCTTGACAGCCTCCTTTTACCACCTACAAAACAGAAGGTCAGGCATAACTGGGCAACAATTAGCTTCTCTTTATGTAGTTAATACAGGGTGTAAAAGAGATATGCTATTAATTGCTTTCTCCCTGTGTGTAATTTACAGTAAATCCTCTTGGATTCATTTTTTAATTATGAACCTTTCAGGAACAGT